GAAACAACTTGGCGATAATCCAACGGGCACCCTTAAATATAGGCTAACCATGAAATTATATGTAAATTGTAGAATCTCTTGTATAGTGTAGTATGAAAGGCATCAGAATGAGAAGCATCACCAGAAAAAATAAGGGTAAATCCTACCCTTTATTTTCCACGATATTACAGGTGCTCCTGCACTTCGGGATACAAAGACCAACCACTTGTGGTCTGAACGTAAAAATATGTGAATTACTAACTAACTCAAAATAAGAGTTAATTTTGAAAACTGTACACAAATGAATAACACTAAGACTGGCCTTTTAAATTAGTACGCAAACTGCCTTTTAAATTAGTACGCATTGAGGTAAATGGTTATCTCGCCAAACTAGTGATGGTTTTAGTGACTAAATTTTGTGGCCAAATTTGGCAAGAAATCTCAAAATGTCCCCAAGATTGGTGATCATTTGGGTTGGATCCCTTACTGTGTCCAGCCCTATGTAACTCCAACTATGTAGGGCTTCCAGCAATTTCGAGAAATTGAAGCTACTGGTAATTTCTCTGTCGCATGGGGGAATCCTATAGTTCGAAATCAATAGAATAGTTATCATAAAAACATAAGTTTAATATATTTTACTAACTAATTTTTTTAACTTTTTCATTTGAAAACACATTTATTATATCATCATAGTTTAATATTTTTTGCAATACCTTTTTCAATTGCTGTTATAGATATATTGGTTCAACAGAAGAAAGTAGGTAGGAATTTACATTTTCTGTTTGCTAAATGAACGTTTGCAGGAAGCTGTTGCAACAGGCATTGTTTAGAAAACTATTAATGCAATGTCCAGCTTTTGGATACATACTGTGCAATGGGAGTTTGTAATTTTTTGCAATATTTAAAGAGCATTCACATGGCTTAAATTTTCAAATGCTTCCATCACTCGATGTTTGAAACTTTTTATTTTCACACATAAATTCAGAAGCATCTAAGTTGCTATTATATTTCAAAGCTAAGCCAGCTGCACATTATTTCAGGTGAACTAGTGGCAGAAATTTGGACATATGTTTATTTGAAATCATTTGCGACCTCTTGTAAAGCGCTAAATCTGTCACTCTATCACATGATCTAACATTTCACAAATATTGTTTTTTAGTAATAGTTTCATTAATTGAAAAATCATCAAAAGCCTTATTGTGCTATAATAAAATCATAATGATATTAATTCTATAGTATTTAAAATTTTCCCGCATTCCGAATTTTTTTGCGTGCTGCTCTCAAAGCATCAGCAATTTTTACTATATAGAATTTCATCTGAAGCAACTTCTAAAATATGCCTCCATTGTTCCTATTCTTTTAAAAGTGCTTTTTTTTTAATTGATCTTCTGTAAAATTAAATTTGTTAATTTTTGAGTCTTATGTTTTCCACTGAACGTATTGTTTTTATGATGCAATGAAGTTTCACATCGAGGTACGGCTGAATTAATATGCTGCCAATCTCAAAATCCCCCAGTAGTCCATACATTCTAATTCTGGCTTTTACCAAACAGAATGCATGGAAATAGAACAGTGTGTTATTTCGCTTGGAACATATCAACCAATTTCTTAAGTACCTGCTTTTCATAAAGCATTTGTTTTTATCAAAATGCCAATTTTCTGTATCAGTTTTAACTAATATATCATCTAATTCAGGTCCATGTTGAATAACTATTTCAGTGTTACTATTTCTTATGCGCTATGTTGTGGGATAATTAAACTCCATTAATTCTGATGCATTATTCAAAGATTTAATTTATTCCCCACCGTATTATTATCATCACACTATATTTCACTTTCATTGGGTTTGAGTTTTTTTTTTTTTTTTTTTGTCTTCATTATCATTTTTAATTTCATATGAAATATTAGTTCTTGTAGGAGGCAAATTTAATTCAGCTGATATTAGCTTGGATGTTTGACTTCCTCAGATCTTAAAGGTTTAGATATATATATGCTTTTTGTACTGCCAATTGCAATAGAAAAAGGAGGTTCATAATTAGATGTTATAATACTTCCAAACACAAAATTTCAACGTTTCATGGCTAATGAGTTTTGAATTATGCGAGATATGCATGTCAGGATTCATACACATTTCTGCACACAGAAATTAAGTACTTTTAAGGCCCATTAATGAAAAAAATTAAGGACTTATGAGCAAATAGGAACTGAATAAATTCAATTAAAAATATTATCTGTGCCTGAATTTCACTTTTGAAATACCATCCTAAAAATGAAATAGATCCCTAAGTAGTATGCATTATTACTAAACATGAATTAGTTAACATAATTATTAATAAGTTTGAGAATAAAATTAACTTTATACAATTTATCAAGTAGCATTAAATATTTTACTCTTATAATAGTTGGACATATTTGAAAGAAGATAAGTGACATTTACGTTTTACTAACAGCTTTATGTTGATTTTTTTTTATGCCTCATTTTGTCACATACTTGGTCAGTCTACTTGGTTTCATAAATAGCAGGTAGATTTTGTCAAACACCATAAGTTAAAATAAGAAGTAAGATCATAATCAGCATGATTCATAACAAAAACTGAATGTTGTCACCACTGATGCTAATCTAGAGAGAGACCTGCTGATTCGAACAAACCTGAAAGGCCTGATGTATGCATGGTTGGCAAGTGTTGAAAGTCAGTCAGGCTCTTTTTGATGCAGTTAGTGTCGTAGCTTCGTGTAGAGTTTCAGGGGTTGTAACCCAGTTAATATACTTTAAGGTTCCAATAAGCCATTAAAGCACCAGAGGTGATAAGTTGTTTTGTATTATTTTAAGTCTCACTAGATGCAAAGAATATGTTTTACTTGAATTTTTACATTTTTGTGTTTTATCTCGTGACCACAGTGGATTGGATTTTTTTTGGCAAAGTACACGAGGGCTATCTGCCTAAAGGGAGGGATGCCTTCATGGAGGACTTTCTAAGGGAAACTTGCTTGTATACACATCACACATCATGAAAACGCCATGCAGCCAGCTCGTTTGTGGGATTCGAACCTCGGACTGAACTACTAGTGTTCAGCATCTTTACCGCTGGGGGCCTGACCATAGTGAGTATTAATGAAAGCCAATAACTCGCTTTAATATGTACAGAAAATTTTTAAGCATAAACAGTTAGTTATCAATAATTAAATTAGGTAGGTTAATAACCTTAGTCATTATGGATTTACATGGCCACTATTAAATTTTATTATTTTTTTAACAATATTTGTTAAAAAAGCCCTATCAAAATCAAAATCTAATACAATTTCACAGTTTAAAATACGTGTAATTTATGACATTGATTCTTAAACGATATTAGGATAATAACACATTAAAAGCTACAAAACATTTATGTTTTGTAGTACTTATGTTGTTGTTATAAAACATAAATGTTGTAACAACTTATGTTGTTAGTTAATAAGTACTTATGTTGTTGTTACAAAACATAAATGTTTTGTAACAACACTCAACAAAATATTTATCCGTCATTTTAATTTGAAGCCTTCCCAGACATTTTGCTAGTTTATATCGATTTCCTTCTCTTTAAGCATCTTTTCTAACAATGAGAGATTTGTCTCAATATGCAAAAACTAATGCTCTTGCTAGTTTCTGCGTGCTTTATCTCCTAACTTGTCAACCTCTCCACAATGTACCTATGAGAGTTTATTTGATCTGCTAAAAGTTAAATAGTCCAAACCCCTCGACAAACGTGAAGCATATTATCGCTATGTCTGAAAGTAACTGCAATATCAGACAAAGGTTTAAATAAGTCTCTTATTTAAAAAGAACTTAAAACATAAAGGCATGTTCTGATGCTAATAAAATCCATTACAACTCACAGTGACGTAATTAAACAAGAACAGTCAAATTCAAACTAAAAATGTGGACTAGTCGTCAATGATTATACAATTTAGTTTTGATTTAACCCTCTAAATGGCAAGGAATTATATTTATATCTAGAATATCTTATAATGTAGAATATTTGTGATATCTGTAAGAATATATATATATACGTGCATATTAAAATATGTCAAAGAAATTGAGGCAGTATGTCAAAAGTACACAAATCCAGGTATGCAACACCAGGAAAATTTTTGCATTAAAATCAAAAACATAATTTGTTCTCATAGTAGTTTTGGGAAATTTGTGCTTTCTTAGCGAAAACCCTGGCCGCTCAGAGGGTTAGTTCAGTAACTATCATATGAGGAAATAGAAATGGGAAATTATAGTCTGAAATCATAAATAATTGGGTAATTTATATAATAATAACTGCACATATCTTTGAAGAATAATTTTCTTTATGTATTTAGTTTCTTCAACACGTTTCCTTTTCATTTTAGAATTTTTTGATTTAATTAAGAATTTGTAATTCTAAAAACACTAAATGCATTTAGAATGTACAGAAAAAGCGGCTAATTTTATTTCTTTAGTAATATGAATATTCAGAAGAAATATGAAATATGGTAAGGGCCTATTACACAGCTAGTGTGGTAGAATTTTTAGAATTTAGTGACACACTGAGCAACAAAATCTAGAAATGGCAAAACTTTTAGAATTTAGGCACAGGAAGCAGAATTTAGGATCCTCAGAGTGGTGCATTAACACATCGACTGCCAGTCTCTAGAGATGGGATTGATAGTTATTGCCTTGACATCGAAGTAGATTGTACCCAGAAGCCAACATACTAATTATTGGAAATATGATTTAAAATTATTAATGAAATATGATTATTTTATATCTAAGTATTATTTAAGCATTTCCATATGGAATTTCTTAACTACGCGCCAGCGCGTGATTGGCACTGCACAACAAATTTTTTCCCAAATGCCACATTACGCGCTGGCGCGTGATTTGCAAAAAGTGAATCAAAATAAGTGACAGTATGCATTATTTTTATGTAAATCTCTATTACAAACATATATATTACAAATGAATTTATTACATGATAATTATAATGGTATTATTAATAAACTTACATTTTAGAGTGTTATTTGTGTGTAATCTTAGAACAATCTAGGCAGTATCCGGGAGATCCTTCGCAAACTTTGCACACATATATGGTATCTTTTAGTTTTCCTTCCGAATAACAGCTTTTACACTGCTTTCGCAGTATTTTTCCACCTTTTTTCTCTTCCCGCGTTTTTAGTACATGCTCCGATTCAGATGGATGACACACAGAAGCACGATGAACAGATGGCTGTTTCAATAAGCATCTTATCACGGATAGACGATAGTCATAAAGTGACATATTTCTATTGGAATACTTGTTGTAGATAAAGTGGGAATTGGACATCATTATTTGCAAAATATGCACAAAAATTTTCGTGGGCCACCTAATCGTTTTTCTTTCACAAGGATAATAAGCAAGCATCTGGTCTTGCTTATCAATACCTGCCATAAATTTATTATACTGAATTACAGGTAGTGGTTTTGTTTTAACTTCACCTCTTTTGTTTGTTTTTTCCACCATATCATTTTTATATTCATTGGAAATATAAGTGACGTCTCTCTTATCCTTCCACTTAGCAATCATCACACCATTAGTATATTTTGCTACAGTTTGCCCTTTCTTTAGTTTTTTTTCGTTTACCTCTTTCGGAAATGTCTTCCTGTTGTTTCTAATTGTCCCAGTACAATGAGTTTTTCTATCAGAAAGACATTTTGCCAGATCATAGCTGTTATAATAATTGTCCATAAATACGCTATGCCCTACATCCAACATTCCCTCAAGTAAATTCATTACGACTTTCTGTGCATGTCCTTTTCCACCAGAATCATCCAACATACCTGTATATACCATAAATTTGAGAACCATACCATCAGGGGTTGTGATCATGTACAGCTTGATAACATATTTGTGACGTTTATTTGGTATATACTGTCTAAATATAAGTCGTCCACGCCATAATACCATCGACTCATCTAATCTCTCGTCCTGGGTAATATATTTCAGATACTCGTGCGTTGAACAAATTTACCATACTTCTTATTTTATATAATCGATCCTTTGGAATTTCTGTATTCTGCTCTGGAATTTTTGCGAAGTGCAATGCCCTCAGTAATAATAAAAACCGATTCCTGCTCATGTTTTCAGAAAAAAACATGTAAACCAAACAGTGAATCGGGTTTTCCAATAATCTTGTATGTGGTTGATTCGTATAGTTCCCATATGTAAGATCAATCCCACAAATGTCAAAAGTTCCTCTTTTGTAGTGTCTTTCCAGGCATTGATTCGTGAATGTTTCTTTTTTTCACGGTGAAAAAGTACTTTATGAGCATAATCATTAGTTTTAGCAGCTACTTCCTCCAAGATACCGTCGGTGAAAAAATGCCGAAAGTAATCTGTAGCATTGTTACCTGAAACAGTTTGGAGCAAACACTCGGATTTTATGAAAGAAAACAGCTTCATGGATGTAGAATCACTTTCCCAAGTTAAATTTTCCATTATAGCGGAATTATCGCGCTGACATGTTGCACCTTGAACGATTTGTTCATCATCTTCATCTTCAGAATCCGAAATATCATGGGCATCATTGGGAGGAATGAATTCTTCGTCACTGTCACTGTCGTAACTATAATCACTCGGGTACTCGTCCGATAGCTCAGCCAACAAATTTGCAATTTCATCATACGTTAAATTCTTATTATTTTGAACTTTTCTTTTTTGGGGGCGCGAAGGCCCTGCACAATTATCCTCTGTATAACTCATATCACAAGATTATTTTTTCAATCAAAAATTAAATATTAAATTCGAAACCACGGTTTTTTACAGATAGTTTCTAATCATAACTACATGCCAATAGCAGCAGAAATACCCTGAAAGCAATGCCAAATGAACTAGAGAATGAATAATCAGAAGTGGATGATCTTGTATGTGGATCCGCGCCAGCGCGTGCCTGGCTACTGAGACATCACCCCACATCACGCGCTGGTGCGTGATTGGCTTTTCGGCGATAGCACCACGCCACGCGCAAGCGCGTGATAAGCAGTCAATGTGTTAAGACATATTAAATTAATGTTCTAAATTGTAAGCTTTCTTTATTAATAAAAAAAATCCCTTTCGATAATGCCTGCCCATGTGATAAGATTAGAAGCATTTTTGATATTTTCCATGCTTGTGTCTAGTGAAAAGTAGAGAAAATAAAGGGAAGGTAAACATGTTAAGATTCTAGTATCAGAGGTAAAGTATTCAAATATTATGTTTTCATTGTTCTTCCAGACGTTCTCCAAAAAGTAAGAAATTCATTGCAAACTTTCTGTAAAATACATCAATTACATATTGATTGCTGATTTTGCCAAAATTAAGGACTTTTAAGGACCAAAAATCGATTCCAAAAAATCTCAGGACTCTTAAGGACCGTACGAACCCTGATGTACAGATGTCATGAAAAAAATCAATTTTACAATTTGCTTTGGAAAGAAGTCCTTTATTCTATCTGTACATACAGATGTCATGCAAAATACTGTACAAATGAATTTGGGAATGGTCAAAATGGATATTTCCATGGATCCACAACACCCAAAAATTTTCACAATTACAAAACTTCCCTTACTTCATACAAGGAAACATGGAATTTTTCTGCGCAAATATTTCTTTTTGAATTATTAATGATTTAACACCAACACTTATGTTTATATTATGAAAAGTTGTAAGTTTAGAAAGACAAGACCCATATTCAGGAACATATGATGAATTGTGTACTTGGACCAAATAGGTTTATCATCACAATTAAATTAGAAAGTTGCAAGTAATTTTAGACATGGAGATTAAATGGACTTATGGCCTTGTATCATCCATGGTAGTTCTTATGAATTTACTGTAACAGGAAACAGGTTTCGTTTGACTCTACAACTTTATAATTTCATTACAAAGAGAATTTTGATGTTTCCATCACCAGAAAAAGCTACAGTGTTTGCCAACATGCAGCTATAAGATATGATATTGCTATACCTAATAGATTAAGATACTATATCTTCTGTATCTAGTATCTGCTCACTTGTATTTCCAATAGTTTAAACTAAAGAGCCGTACCTTTCCTGTGGTATACCCACTACTGGCTAAATGAATTAGACTGCTGAATACTGGAAATTTTCAGTAAGGTTGGTTCCCACTGAATGGGATTTTCTCCATTCATAATATGAACAGAATCAGTTTTTCTTTGAGTTCTTTCATAAAAATATCATTTTCCTATGAGAGAGATACTACAGCATGCAATCTTTGTTTGTCATATAACAAACCACATAAAGCCAATAAACCTCATTTAACGCTGTTGATAAAAATTAAAAGTCATAATATAACAACTGTTGCTTATGATAAAAGATAATTTGTAGAAAAGTGATATTTAACACAATTACCATGCCTGCCAGTTAACAGGTGAGAATATATTACTCGTCTAAATTATTGTGTCAGAAGTTATGGGCTTTTAATTAAGCATGTACTCCTTTTTCTCAGAGACATGAATTAAATTTATTACAGCTTCACATGTATTTCTTTATGGAAATTAGAGAAACAAAGATGAACAAGTGAATTTTAGATTTCAAATTAATTCCATCAGAATTACAAATTTCTAACCTAATTTGCTGTGCTTTTGACAAAAGATTTGAAATGCTGTGGTGAGATTATGCACACCTGCCTCTGGCATCATTTATCAACTAAGAATACATGAATTTTTAAAAAATGTATGTTTAATAATGTCTGTAAGCCATACAATGTCTTATGAATTTTTGCCTGCTCTTTTAAAATGTAGTTTGCTTAAAAAAAATCTCTGAAAAGCAAAATCATTTGCTCATTGTAGTTTAATACCTTATTCAAAATTGAGACAGAAAGCAATTTAGTCAGTTATACTTTTAATGTTTTTATGCAATAGATGTGAACTATAAAAAGCATTTAGAAAATTATAGATTTAATAGACACTTTCTTTAAAAATGTTGACTAATAGAACATCCAATAAAAGACTTGTTAGACTTTATTAATATATACAGCTCTTATATACAGTGAATATTACAAATAAAATTAAAAATGAAAAGTATTCATATATGATCATAATCACATCAGAAAAATACAGAATTTAAACTTTTTTCTGTAATAGTAAAAAATGGAGCTAATAAATTTTCATAGTATTATTTACTTTACATATTATAGATATATTATATTTTAAACTGCTAAAAATGTATATTAATTCTAGATAAAACAAAAACACCAAAAAATGTAATAAAGGAATATAAATAAACATTTAAAGATCTCAAACATTATGATAAATATGAGAGTTCATAAATAACACAGATCATCTACTTTATATGAGCACTATATTAATCACAGATCTGAAATACATGAACTTGGCTTTGCTCATTTACTTTAACACCGTAAATCTTACAGTTTCAGTAAGGTTGGTTCCCACTGAATGGGATTTTCTCCATTCATAATATGAACAGAATCAGTTTTTCTTTGAGTTCTTTCATAAAAATATCATTTTCCTATGAGAGAGATACTACAGCATGCAATCTTTGTTTGTCATATAACAAACCACATAAAGCCAATAAACCTCATTTAACGCTGTTGATAAAAATTAAAAGTCATAATATAACAACTGTTGCTTATGATAAAAGATAATTTGTAGAAAAGTGATATTTAACACAATTACCATGCCTGCCAGTTAACAGGTGAGAATATATTACTCGTCTAAATTATTGTGTCAGAAGTTATGGGCTTTTAATTAAGCATGTACTCCTTTTCTCAGAGACATGAATTAAATTTATTACAGCTTCACATGTATTTCTTTATGGAAATTAGAGAAACAAAGATGAACAAGTGAATTTTAGATTTCAAATTAATTCCATCAGAATTACAAATTTCTAACCTAATTTGCTGTGCTTTTGACAAAAGGTTTGAAATGCTGTGGTGAGATTATGCACACCTACCTCTGGCATCATTTATCAACTAAGAATACATGAATTTTTAAGAAATGTATGTTTAATAATGTCTGTAAGCCATACAATGTCTTATGAATTTTTGCCTGCTCTTTTAAAATGTAGTATTTGCTTAAAAAAAATCTCTGAAAAGCAAAATCATTTGCTCATTGTAGTTTAATACCTTATTCAAAATTGAGACAGAAAGCAATTTAGTCAGTTATACTTTTAATGTTTTTATGCAATAGATGTGAACTATAAAAAGCATTTAGAAAATTATAGATTTAATAGACACTTTCTTTAAAAATGTTGACTAATAGAACATCCAATAAAAGACTTGTTAGACTTTATTAATATATACAGCTCTTATATACAGTGAATATTAACAAATAAAATTAAAAATGAAAAGTATTCATATATGATCATAATCACATCAGAAAAATACAGAATTTAAACTTTTTTCTGTAATAGTAAAAAATGGAGCTAATAAATTTTCATAGTATTATTTACTTTACATATTATAGATATATTATATTTTAAACTGCTAAAAATGTATATTAATTCTAGATAAAACAAAAACACCAAAAAAATGTAATAAAGGAATATAAATAAACATTTAAAGATCTCAAACATTATGATAAATATGAGAGTTCATAAATAACACAGATCATCTACTTTATATGAGCACTATATTAATCACAGATCTGAAATACATGAACTTGGCTTTGCTCATTTACTTTAACACCGTAAATCTTACAGTTTTAGTATTATGTTAAAATAGCGACGTCAGGATTTTCATCTTCATCTTTCTTTTTAGGATTATGCTTCTCTTTCAGGACTGTGCTCTTCTTATACTTTCTTGGTGGTCCTACAAAAAGATAAAAGGTTATGCAAAACATTTTAATTAAAATAAAAACTTATTTAAAAATATGGTTGTAGAATGTAAAAATGTAGATCATTATATAACAGTATGAAGCATACAGATTTTCTTGGAAGTTAAATACTTCAATTTAAAACAAAATTACATTTCATGTTTTAAAGTAATTAACACTATCATGCTAGACTAGAATTTCAACATCTATTCCTTGCATTAATTTACAACTTTATTTCAAATCTAATGATGAATTTCAAACATTCAACTCAAGATTGCAAGTATACAAAGTTTTTTGATCATTTTAAAATTCTAAATAAATTACAGATTGTAAACTATATCCATATTGAACAGTAACAATAAAATGCTTTACACATTTGAAAAAATGCATAATTACACATTTGAATCCATTCTGTTCATAAATAAATGCACTGGTGAGAATTTTTTGTAATTCTGTCCAACTATTGTTCAGTAATAAATGCTACTTAAAAACCAGACTTTCATTAACAATTTTAATGTTAATGAAGATGTTACATTAATTACATTACTAAGGAAGATATTACACTGAAATTTTAAACTACAGAACATTTAATGCTCCATTGTATTAAAGCACTAAAATTGTACAGGGAATTAACACATATGTTGAATGCCAGAGTTACGGCTGATATTACGTAGGAATAACTGAAAAATGCAGTCCATGATTTTATAGATATGTACACCAACATGAGTTTTTTTAATACCTATATTTGCTAATTAGGCAGTTTTAAACTGAATGTATTTGTGATATTTAAGAAATCAACATCATAAAATGTATAAACTAAGATAAAAAAAGCAAGGAATGCAAATGGAAGTAAAAATTTAGGACATTAGTCAATATGAAATTTAGTATATTAGCCCATATAAAAGAGTGCTAATTCTGAGAAGATTCACTACTTTTTCTTTCATAAGTTAATACTTTTTTGGGGGGGGGAGCTGGTCGGCCAACCTAGGCTTACCTCATTTTATGAGAAATGTCATGACATTATAAACAGGCTGGAGATGACCACCATTTATACTGAGGTAACATTCAACATGGCACAATACACTTTGAAACAACCTTGATGTTATATCCACTACTACTTCTTAAATACCTTGGTTGATATTCGTTTTCAAAGTGTTTCAAAATCTCTATCACTACATTCAGACAATGCTGAATCCACCAGATCATATTTTTGAATAACCTTGTCAGTACATAAACTGCCACTGCTTGAATTGCTTTTTTGATACTTGCTTTCAAGGCATTGACAGTTTATGGCTTGCTTATGTAAACTCTTTTTCAGATATCAGCATCAAAATAAGAAGATAGCATCAGACTTCAGAAGTATGACCACAGTCCTTTTGAAATAATATGGTTAATAAAAAATAGGTACTAAAAATTTTCATAAATGCAGCTGTTATGTAACTGTTATGTATGGAAGAAGACTAATTATGTACCACCAGAATATTTTCCACCAAATATTATTATTCTTGGGATGGAGGGATCTTTATACATTGTGCAGGGTTTATCACTTGCCCAACCAAATATAGTCCTGAAAGTGCTGATTATGCAGAACAGATGTCTAAAACAACTATTTAATATGCCAATTTTTTCCCTGCGCAGGCTTTTTTATTTTGTGTATCAAAGAGATAAAGCATGCATGAAGCTCTACTTTTTGCATTGCATGATGAGGATTGCTTCAAAACAACCTTAATTTCTGTGAAACCTGATGCTGTGACTTCTTGGGAGATGCAAGTCAGTCTTTCACATTCTAAATTGTTTCTTATGGTATTTTTGAATGAGATTGTCCAATAAAAACCCTTTGGTTTCCCGTTTTTTTCAGCAACACTGAAATGCTGGATGAAATGCAGATCTTTATTTCCATACTTTAAGAATAGCTGCTGATATTACTTTATTACCTGTTTACACAAACAAGTACACTGATGCTCATGAGAAATACATGTATTGCATAGACACCTTGAGCCGAATGATAGGAACAAAATGAAACCAGGAAAGTGAAGTTGGAGACAGTCATACTGATTAGCTGGCAGATTGCTATTCTGTATGATTATAACATATCATTTCTTAGATAACATGCACTTTTGTTCAAATTTCATAGAATATTTTAATTATTATTAAAATTATTTTATGAAATTTAGGGTTCACTAGCTAAGACACCCTATAATTCAATACCTGCTCGTTTTCCTCTTGAAATAAACACATATTTATTAAGGAAATGTTAAGACTTTTTAATTTACCACCCCTTTTAAATAAATTTCTGAAAGACAAGTTCAAACTCTATTTACATTTTTTGATGAGAGAAAATATGAACAGTACTTTTATTAAAAGATCCCTTTTTACCGAAGAAGTACGGATGCTCTCCACTTTACAAACTTTTGCAGATATAAGCAAATCTGTTCTCAAAGAACGAAATTTGTTCACAGGTGAAAAGTGTTTAGAGACTCACTTGTCAGAAAACCAAGACCTAAATTCTGAGAAGTTAGCTATAGTCTTGCAATATATGATGCCATACAGAGATATCATCTTGTAAAGTTTGTAAATTTCCAACCTCTAGACATGTTCAACCATCAATTTATGTACACCCTGCACTTCAAACCTGTTCTCATGTATTTCTGCGTATCGATTCTGTTAAACCGCCTCTAACTCCACCTTACACTGGTCCTCATCCCGTGGTTAAACGAATGGACAAAAATATTATTATTGAGGTAAATAACAAAAAGGATTACAGTTTCAATCGATCGTTTGAAACCAGCACATATGTTATCAGAATGTATTTTATCTGTAATTTCTCAGTTTCCACAGGAAGTCTGCAAAGACTAAAAAATTGTTCCAAAACAAATAGTTACCCACAGTTGATGTGTTCATTTTCCTGAAAAACTAATCACTGTAATATGATGAAAGTTTTCTCTTGTGGTTTGCTTGGATTTACATCTATGCTTAACCCTTTGTCGCACATGTCCACTCTAGTAGACAAAAGTTTATATTTGTTTATTCTTCTGTAATTGCCTTAACAGATTCCATTCCTGTGTTTATTCATTCTATATTATTAGAACTTTCAACTGTTGATCATAGATGGCTGTATAACATCACTAAGTAAAGCATTGCTATTTGGAAAATGGCTGCTACTTCTGTTTCCAAGTTAGTACAATTTCTCATAGTAAACATTGTATAATATTGCTTACATTTTCTTATACTGCCATTTTTTATTCATAATTGATAATTTTAAACATTTGATTTTAAATGTCAGTTTGAGAAAATTGTGGAGTGGGTAGATAAAGATCCACTGAAAAGAGTGAATTGAAACCCAAATGTACTGCTTATCAAGCCAAAACACCACAGAAAATGCTTATGTTTGGTAAGGAATTTCTAGAACATTTAAAATTTTAATCCAATAGGTACAGGTTACAAAAACATAGCAAAGTGAATTCAATCACAATTGACGAAATGAAGATATTTTGGGGGATCTGTATGTACATGTCAGTTGTAGATTTACCATTTAGAAGATGGTAATGATCACTGCAAACAAGGCAGGAAATTATTTCAAATGCAATGAGCATAAATTGTTGGGAAGAGATTTGTATGCATGTACGTATATGCATGCTGTCCACTGTAGTGAGCAAACTGTAGCAATTATTTAAAACGAAATTTGAATAAAATTAATTTTTTTTATTATTACTAAGGTTATCTTAAGTAGAAAAAATACAAACATTTTTGTTTAACTTCTCTAGATTATTTGTAGGCAACAAAGGGTTAACAACCACTGTTCACTGATATTACTACTCAGCGGCTGGTAAACACAATACCTGTGCAGGAGTAGATTTTTGTGTTCAGCAGTATGTAATGACCATTAATAACTTATCCAGTGAAATTTTAATTAATCTTTGTACAGTTCACATTATTTTTATAATTATCCTTTAATTCTGAATATCAGTATGTATTCAGTATATTTTTTATTAGTCTGAAAGCATTTTAAACTAAACATTTAATCCTATTTGTAAAAGGATACAAATATTAACTATTAGTGTAATAGTATATCTATATCTATCATGTGCAATTAAAATTATTAATCCATTGCAAATTAAACAAATTTTGGAGCTACTTATATTTGTACTATAGATCTGCATTAGAAAGAAAGCATTATAATTAATGCATTAGAAAGAAAGCATTATCGTTGTTTATGATTATTTACTACATTAAATAAAGGTGCACTTTATCAATTTCAGACAGGATTAAACCTAGTGTGCAGAGAGCATATGTATATATTGTAATAGAGTAAACATTCTGATGATAATTGCTACCAGAATACTTGTAATATTTGCTTAAAATATAAACAAGCATCAACTTTAAACATCATGTGCCTGAGATAACCACATTACAGAAGATTAAAATCATTTGGAACTACTGGTGGTAATCTTGGAGAGAGTTCAAAGTTTATATCACTAATTAAAAAAAAAAATAAAATAAAATAAAACTTCTCTCATTATGAAGAAATACTTCTAATAAACAGCTGTGTTGCTTTCTAAAAATAGGAAGTTATTGAAAATGATCAATGACATATTAAACAGCTTTACTTACTTTTGAAATTTACAAAAACAAACAAACATGTAAGGGGGAAAAAGGAAAAGGATGTTCTATTCTTAAGAATTATATACTTCTTTTAGTTCCATAAAAAATGTTATGATGATGATCAAATTCTCATGTTACTTTTCCCCTTATTGCAACACAAAGAGTAGCAACAACCTGTTTCTGAAATATGCAGTTGAGCAGGCAAAGATAAAGCACACACAATTCTGAAACAAGTTACAGAATGTAACATTGAATACCAAAGTGGTTAATTGTGGAATACCAAATCATGTAGTATACTAAACCGATCCAAAGAGATAGCTGCAAAAGCACTCTATTTTAAAACATGACATTTTATATTAAAATTTAAATAATATTTTAAAATTTGGGTATTTGCTTTATAATATTTATCAAATTAACATTGTCAGTAAGTCATGCTTGTTTTAAATCAAGGCAATCATTTTGAATAATCCTTATATTATGCTTTTATTACTTTTGCCCCATATTATTTACTTCATTAATTATCAATATACATTAAAACAGCTATAAAAACTTACCAATAATGCTCAAGAAAACAGGTAAGAATATCAATCCATGAGCAGCACCTATTAAAACTATACCGAGGTACATACGGAAATAGAAAACTTGAAATATTTGTGACTTGGAAAATGCTAACACCACAATGCCTCCAAATTTTGTTAGTGTAATACCTGACAATACCTGAAATAAGAATATTATATTCACTATATTTTCTAAATTTTACATGTACAGAAGTATACACATAAAAGGAACATTCACAACTTATCAAATATTCACAATAATGTAAAATTAACAAGTATGTATGCTTACCAAATTTTTATTATGCTATATTTCAATTTAACAATGCAATGTACTATTATTCAGGAGTATTTTTTTTTTGTTATTTTTTTATTTTTATTTATTTTTATTATTTTTTTTAATTTAATTTAATTTAATTTTTTTATTTTATTTTTGCTTTACTTCTCTTAAAATTTTAAGCTTTTATTAGCTGGAATAGTTAAAACTTTCTTAAACTTTGAAGCGATTTCTCATGTTTATGATTTCCCCCCCTGTACTGGAGGAGACTTTCCATCAACATATATTTTCATGTTCAGTAGCAGAAAAAGCAGACATTAAAGAAACATTGTTGAAGCCAAGAAATCTTATGTAGGATGACTACATTTTTAGCTTTCTAGGATGAATACTCCATCTTCCAAATAATTAGACCTGAGAGCTTGGATGTACTTCACATAGCCTTCACTCAAAAGTTTTCTGAATATTGGATCTTAATTTAAAAAAAATGCTCCCTTTTCTATTGAGGTTTTTATTTTAGGACTGCATCATTACAAGAGAAATAAATAAAATTTACAGGACTCTCTTTTCTATTTTACTATTCTGCAGGCTGAAGACTAATTTATAAGATTTACAACTTCATACAACATTTCATGCACCATACAATGAAGAAATGACCATACAATTAAATTTTATGATCAGTTTTAAATAAAAAGACATATTTCTCATTGAAAAACTATCAAAGTAGAAATACTATGTTGTGACAGAATAAAACATAAATGATAAAAAAGTACTTGTGAAAAGTGAAATACATACAGAGCTTCCTGTATGTGCAACAGCAGACTGAGCTCTTTCTACCTTGCTACCTTCACAGTTGAATGCAAAAGATCGAATGATATGAGAACAAAATTCCACTGATATTCCAGCAGCCTAAATAAAAATCAGAATAAATTTTGAGAAACATAAATTCTGACAACAAAAACAAAACAAAACAAAAAAAAGGGTCACTAAACCCTTAGATGCATACATTTGTTTACAAAATGTTATTGCATGAAGGATAGATATTCATTCCAAGTTAAATGTCGTAAAAACTGCACAATAACTTATCTACAAAACATTAAAAAACTCTTTATAGGTATCAAAGGTATTTGTTTTAGTATTTAGATTGAAAATGCCTAATAATTATTTATGAATTGGTGCATTTATATAAACTCTTAAGATTTTGCATTTTCCTGCAATTCTTACATTGACTTTTTCAGAGCACTCTTATTACTTATATTTACACATATATAAGCATAAACATATATTTTATTGCAGGCAGAATACTTTGAAAATTACTGTTGGTGTTTATTTTACACTAAAAGCAGGAATATGAATAATGGATGTTTCTCATTCATATATAATGAAACATCCATGTAAGAAAACAGATAAGAAAGTTATTTTCCTCTAACATAACAAAATTCTCTAATTCTCCCTGTGTAATGATGATAAAACATGCTACAACAATAAATGAAAGAAGGTTCACTATGGCTTTAAAGTATGTTATAAAGTTAGAGATTATAGCTACAAGCACAAGATAATACATTTTCACACTTATTCAAAATTTTCTCTGAGGTAATTTTTATTCAATGCATGCATTTACAGGCTACAATAAGAGTGTATTAAAGAAAATAACTTATATACAGTATTGTAAAAAATGAATATTCAGGGTTTGGATTTTATTTTAAATGAAACATTTGCAAGGTTATGGTCAGCAATGAAATTTTTACTGAAAATGCATTAAAGAAGTCTTAATAATTAAATGAATTCAAAATATTTGGAAAAACATGTTTTTTTTTGGGGGGGGGTGAATGGCGACTTATTTTGGACAACACAAAGTATTAACAATTTTTGCAATACATACATTTATATATATGTAAGTATGATGATATAAATATTACAGTAACAAGAGCTAATAACGTGAAATCTACATATTTTACTTACATTTTAAATAAAAGTTATTTACATAATTAAATAAGTGTAAATGAAAACTGAATACTAAAATCATAAAGAACAGCTAAGAATGGAAAATTAAGCTTTTGAAGCTATAAATAAAAACATAATGTGGAATATTACAACATATTTCATTTTTTTGTGCCAGCTATTTCTCTTTAATTGTACAAATAGCATAACTTCTTGTTCAGTTACAAAGTGCCATTGTTCAAGTCATGTAATTACCATGTCAAGAATTCCCACTAAACCATCAATCAAAATTTTTTTTCATTCTCAAAAACTTCTCAGTCACTTTCTTCACTATCAGAAGCAATATTTTCTGGATTATGAAGCATACTACTAATTTTGCCATCTGTTCATTGACTGATGATTAGGGCATTGTCACTGAAAATAAAAACTTATGTTACATCATTTTCATTCATTACCACTTCTCCACATTTCTGAACAAATTTAATTAATCGGAAAAATTCACCTTTTGTTTGCAGTATTCAAAAACCTTCAAATTCTTGGCTGTCATTATCATCATCACCATGAAATAAGGTAACTGGCCATAAATTATACCAAGAGTTTCTAACATTACTTGCAGGCACAACTTTTCATGACTTTGCAATGCTTCATACAGCAGATTTTATGCTAAACTTATATTTAAACAATTCTTGAATGGTCTTGCACTGTTCAGAAAATTTAGAATAGATTTTAAAAAGGGAACTTTACATATGCATTTTAGCATGTGCAGTATACCAATATCCATACAGACTAAATGATGGATGTAGAATTTAGAGGAAAGCATACAATGGAAACATTATCTTTTACTAAAATTTTGAGCCAATTGGTTGTCTATAACCAGAAAATGTTTTGCATCATCTAGTAAACCAACCAATTTCAAACATTGGCAAGTCTCTATGAAATGATTTTTAAAAGGGTTATGAGTCAAACTGGAGAATGAAATTCTTTGACATTTCCGGATGTGTTTTAAGAAAATTCCAATTTAGCTGTGTAGTGTGCTTTGGCTGTGATGAGGGTAAATTATAATGATACCATTTGAAAACACAAAAATTTGCCATTTTTTAATGGCCTTATAGTAAGGCAATTTCAAAATTTGGCCAAGCAACCTGTCAAACATGTGTACCCAGTTTTTAAGTCCATATCATCATAAAATATTTTGGATTGAACACTACACCCACCAACGGCATGCCAACATTGTCTCGCTCATTCAATTATCACTCTGTCATAATAAAAAATACTTTTTTTTTTTTTTTTTTTTTTTTAGTATAACAAATGATTTGTCTGTTCATTGCAAGTGAGGGAAATCCACAAAAAATTCAGAAAAAGTTCCTTTTTTTTAATGCATTATACTTTTGATTTTCAATATATACTACTTGCATAATTTGGAGATGGATATACCTTTATCCATTTTTAGCAGCAATTTCACTTTTTCCTTAATGGATATCGAAACATGTTTTTGTTTTGTAGATTCTGCTGCAACTTCAGAATTAGAAATTCTTTTCAACAAAATTGAAAATTCAAATTTTAATTATCATAACATTGCTGTAATAATATAAATAATATCAACAATAAGAAATAATAATATAAAAATAATAACCTGATGCAAACTAGAAAGCTGAACATCACAGTTTTGAAACAGAATTTAAATTCCTTGGAATTAGTAATGTCTTATTTTTGCCTAGCTTCATACTTGGCTAGCATCTGCTACACACTGTTGGTGATGTACCATGAGACTGGTGACTAAAGACATGTTGTTTCAAATTTTATCTTGCGTCTACTGCATGCTGAGGAAGTTGATTGAATTACATCAGTTTAGTTATTTATTATACTTAAGTCTATGCACTTACTTAAGGCTTACGAGAAAAAAGGGATTAATGCAGATGCCAGTAAAAATTAAACCATTAGATTGTGAATAGATACTTTTGCTTATGCGTATGCTGCACAGACCGAGAATGGCGAATAGATAATTTTGCTCCCCTGTATGTTACAGAGACCAAGAATATCTTAATGAGATAGGGAGTCACAGATGGCCCAGCCTGAGAAACAAATATGTGCTTGAAAGAAGCCTTTTTTGTTGTAGGAAGTAAATGATATGGCAGTTTAAAGAAAAAAAAGGCTTGACAGATGTGCAATTTATTGTATAAATGGTTCTTGGACTATGAAACAAATAGAAAAGTAGACAGATTATTTCCTGGAGAGACATTTTGTCAGGGTGCAAAAATTTTCAGCAACCTCCCCTAATGAATGAAATGAAAAACAAATATCCTACTCGTCTTTTTTGAGGGCATATAGAAAAATATGTGCTGCACTTAATGTTAATTGCTAGATGGTTATAATTGGTTCAAAAAAGGTTGTAGCAGACCATGTTTAATAATTTGAGTACAAGCGAGGCGTGTTGCACTAATAGATGGCTTTTAAATCAAAAGTTAAATATGAAAGATTGTGGTGAAAAAGGTTTTTATTTCCTTTTTAGCTTTCTGCTTTGCTTGGAGTTAAATCAGAGTTTAGCAGTAAGAAAAATCTGATGTGTACACCACATGACTTCCTTGTACGAAATATTAAATTATACACATTTTTTCTTGCATTTTATTTAAACTTATTAGATTGAATTAAACCTACTTCGCCGACAGCGCATAAACAACAATAGAATAAATGCATTCTTTAAAATTCACTTTGTTTACCATAGCGACACTCTGGCGCTAGGTTTACTTAACAGTATTATATTTCGTTCATATTATAACTCTGAATGCACAAAATTTATATCATTTAAAGAATTATCTAATTGTTGCCACATGTTCTATTCAAATACTATAATAAAGTTAGAACTATGTATAAAAGAAATTAAGCAAACAAAACAAAAAAGAAACAGTTTTTCACAGACGATTGAGTATTTCTCATTCAATTAATTCAGTTCTCACTTCGCGACAAGGCAAAAATACATAAAAATTCAAAATATCTGTATTAAAAATTATGAAGTAAATCTTAAATGCTTATTTCCTTGAAAAAATTAAAGAAAGGATTAAGCATGATTTAATTGGCAATAATAAATGAATGCGTTATCTTTGTTGTTGCGAAGCTAAGTTTCTCTAGATTGGCAACAAATCCACTAGTCTCCTGTTTCAAATGTAAACATCAATGGCCGCCATCAAATTAGGCTTAGCGGCACTTAAACAATTTTAAAATTATTGATAATTCTAAAAATATTGCATACAGATTTACTAAAGGCATAAAATCCTTAACCGGAAGATAAAAACAACATAATTCAATAATTTTTAAAGCAAAAAATGTACAATTTACAAACATATAAGAGTAAAGAAACTGAGATCACTGAACCGGGTAACAGAGTGGATATATTTATAAATATATTTATATATGTTTGGCGCAGCCGATTGAAACCAAAATACGAGGTGCACATCTACATGTTATAGCAGTCCCATATACAAAATTTCAACGTTCTGAGGCTACTCGTTTTTGAGTTATGCGAGATATGTACGTGCGTGCGCACGTTCGTACAGATGCCACGAAAAATTCTCTTTAGAATTCATTTTAAAGCAGTTTTTTAGTTTTTTTGGAGGAAAAAAAGTCTTTTATTCTGTCCTTACGTACAGATACCACGCAAAAACATCGTTAAATTGCATTCGAAAGCGGTCAAAGTGGATATTTTCATTGAAATATGCTGCCTGAAGCTTTTCGTGATTACAATACTTCCTTTTTACTTCGTACAAGGAAGTAAAAAAGGGGAGGAGGGAAAAACTGGCGGATGATAACTAGTAGAAAGGTGTGTAGTTTTAGAGATGGGGAAAGAGCATTTGTTAGAAATGACTGGAAAAGTTGGAACAATAAAGGTTCCTGCTCTACACTGATAAAGTGTTCCCAGTTTACAGATATTTAAGAAATGACTGAGTGATAAAGTTTTCTGCCATATGTTGATG